TCTGTGTGTGTGTGTGTGTGTGTGTGTGTGTGTTGGGGTGCGGGTTTTTGTGCTTCTGTGTCTTGGGTTGAGCACTCGTGAGTTTGGAAAGGGTGGAGGTCTTCCCTAAACGGTGAGCTACCCTCTCCTTCAGGTTTGCTCTGACTCTCTGAGGGGGTTTCACTGGGAGAGGGTCCGAGGAAACCCTACTGCTGCTGGACACCTTTGGTGCATGCCGACGAGTGGACGGCTGCGGGACAATTCACTGTAATCACTTAGCCAAACCTCTTTTCCTTCGTGCAAATCCTCCCAAGCTACTCTGCATATGTGCGTGTCCCGATTTAACAAGAGAGCGAACCGGTTCATGTGCCCATGGCACATGACCACTCCGTTCGACGGCTCTAGAAGGACCCAAATGCCGAGAAAGTCTTGAGAGGAAGAGAATGCGCGCGTGTGCCCATCGTCACCACAAGGGGACAAGTTTTTCCCCGTGCACAGGCGGAACCTTGTGACGATGATGGTTCCGGCGATGGCGGTACAAGTGCGAGTGTGGAGCTGCTGGAGCACAACGACAAATTGTGGGAATAGACGAGCCACCGCCTACGAAAGTTGAAGGTCTGTAGGACGACATGTAGCGTCAGAGATCCCCCTTTCTGACGAATGCCAGAGGGCGAAGGCATAGCATGGACCGTCCCTCCTCCATTGCGTGCCTCCTCTATCCAATTTCTCATTGGCGCAATGGCGCACGGTGCAAGTGCTGGCTGCTCAGCTGTACACGGTCAGCCGGTACAGCAAACACTTCTGTCAAACAGCTCATCCTCTTGCCATGCAGCTGCATGATCGGTCATTGTCGCACTGCGTGCAAACGACACGTGAAGACTGTGTTCCCTGCGGGTCTCTCCTTCGAGTGCAGCAGTGAAGCCGTCTAGCTTTTCAGCTCAAACCAGTAGCACTTCTTTCGAATTGTGATGTCTGCTCGTTTGGGATAATTGGTCGAAACCTCCCACGCGACAGCCTTTCCTTACTTGGGTAGTTGTTTTCACAAGGGACCCATGATTCTGTACTCGTTGGTAAGTTGGTAGGTGTTCTCAGAGGGGAGCCATGATTCGGTAATCGCTCCCTCCAGTTTTTGTTCATTTATGGGCTCGCATTTTTGGTACGGGCATATACCCATTATCCCATACTTCCCTATCGATGGGAGCCACGCTGTACTGCTCGCAGTCAGGCGCTTTCGTGCATGACCCAGTGGCACCTTCAAGTTGGGATGTACATCGGCGCTTGGCCCATTACGTGAACGTCGGTGTCACGAGTTCGTGCGTCCCTTGTTCTTCCCTTGTCCACGCGCTAACCTGGATTCGAGCTTCCGGTTTTGTGTTCTTCTTGCCGGTGCAGCGGTGCTCTTAGCTTCTTGGACAACGCAAAAGTCGTACAGCTAGACAATAGACATTGTTAGTAGTCATTTACGCAGCTAGAGAATAGACTTTGATCGGTCACTTGCCCACTTACGCTTCTGTAAAGTAGACTCGCTAGTAGTCGGTTTGTGCCTCTGTCCGCTCCGCTTACCTCGCCGAGACCCCAGGGAATCCAGTGACAACACAGATGAAGAGTTGAGCATGCAAGTCGACTACCAGACAAGTACTACCCGTTCGTGTCGCCCAGCAGGTCGTGTCGCCCAGCAGGTCGCTCCCAAACGTACACCGGGCGATCCTTTTGGTTCATGA